GGGTAGACTTCTCTCTGTTTCTACTCTGTTTTTGTTATGCAATATTTAGAGCTTCTTCTTTTCAAAGAAAAATAAAAAAAAGGGGAAAAGAAACAGCGTTCAACATTATGTTTTACAGGGTCTGTGGGGTGGGATGCTTGCTGGAGTGGCAATGCAAACCATTGTTCTTTCTTTACTTGTATGGAGGACCAATTGGGATAACCAGGTAAGCACGGTGAATATGACAGTAATTTGGGTGAGCCAAATTCTGGAGAAGGGTCGAACTAAATTTATTTAAAAGTGAGTAATTTTAAAAAAGTGACTTAATTTTAGGGTTAAAGATACAAAATTTAGACATGATTGGTGGCAATTGAAAAAATGTATGAGTTTCTATCTCATAAGTAGGAGTCCAAAGGTCTAAAATAACTATGTATTGTGCTTATTTGAAATATTATTTTTGATGAAAAATACTTATTTGGAATATTTGTTTATCTTTAATGGTAGATGGAACCTACTTTATTTAAGATAATTTCTTTGATATTACAAGTAAGAAAGGCATCTCAACATTTAAACAAGTAGCTTTTGAATTCGAAAGAGGAAAGTAATGAGAGCCCATCTCATGCTTAGAGATAAACATGAGCATAATTTTTGTAAGCTTTTAACTTTCATTTTTGAAACTCAATTCAATTTTTAGGAAATTTTTTAGCATAATTTTCAGTTTAAAACTAGGCGGGCTTATTTGACTTGAAAATTTTTTTGGGGATTTAATTTTCATAGTTGAATAATTACTTTTTCAGCTAATTTTGTAATTTCATTAATTTCAGTGCTAAAGGCAGCCGCCCTTCATCATCTGACTACGAGAGGTCTTCGATTACAATGGAGAGCCATCCTTCCAAAGGCAATGCAAGTGGACGCATAAACAAATGGTTTGTAACTAATTAATCGAGAGAAACAAGTGGATAGCTTTTTGCATTCAAGATAAAGTTGAGACATATACATTGGACTTGTTCTTACTCCCTTTTCCCCATTGAAAAAAAAAAAAAGGATTTCTTCATTTTTTTTTATTTTGGGTTTCACAATGAGACACAATCTTTTTTCATTTTTTAATATACCTTATTTACATATTATGCAATTCAAATTTGTTAAAATTTTTTATTTTTACCAAAATAAAATTACTATTAATTTACTTAAATTATTAACCAAGCATTCTCTTACTCAAGTTTCTTATTGCTGTATATGGATATCATGCCTGAACTAATTTCACGCATCCAAAATTTTTTGTAAATGTCTGAGAATTTTTTTCCTTTGCAAAAGCTAGAAGATATATTGATATAAATAAAGGAAATTACATTAAGTGTAGACTAGACTCAAAGGCCTCAGTTCCGTGCCTAAAGAGTCAAAATACGAGAGCATCAATCAAAAATCTCAACCAGAAACTAAAACAAGAAAGCTTCAGCTTTGAAACCCAGAGAAAGACATCTAAAATATCTTGCAATTAATCCCAAATTAATTGAAATTAATGGACACTAGATGCAAAGGAGCCCTCACTACTGTCGCATGCCTTTAACAATCAAAATCAGAGGGCATCAATCAGTGCAATAATCTCAACCATAAATAAACAAAGAGAACGAACGACATCTAAAATATACATCTTGCAATTAGTCCCAAACTAAACATCAAAGATAACATTGCCAGAATAATTAAGGAATATGTCATTGTTGCCAAGCCTCTGATAAATTTTTCATTCCTATTATAAGGTTGTCATTTTTGGATATAGATTCATTTATAATTAGGCCTTTCTTTACATGAAATCATCAAACTCCTAAAATGCAAAAAAAAAAAAAAAAAAAATCAATTAGTTAACGCGACGCATCATAAGTTTGATAATAAGTTTGTTATACCACGTTAGAGCTATTTCATGTCACATTAAATGTTTGATAATAAGTTTTTTTTAATTAAGTTTAGTGGTCAAGATGTTCTCATACTAATTTGCATACATTTCAATATTAATTTTTTTAATCTAATTAAAAGTAAATCATTTAAATTAAAATTAAAAAATTTAGAAAAAATAACTTTTTTATTAATCTCTCAAAAAATCAAATCCTATGTAATAAAGTAAGAATGCTAAATTGTCTTTAAATGTGTAAAAATATCATTTTTTTTAAATTAGTTAAAGATATCGTTTGAAACCCTTTGACGTAATGTATTGAAGATTTTTTCAATGTATTATTATTTTCTGCTAAGGAAGAATATTCTCGTGAATTTTTTTGTTAGATAGATTAATTAGTTGAAATTTTTATAAACAAGAGAAATAGAAAGAGAGAATGAGAATTTAAATTTTAATATATAGATGAAAAAGCATTTTATATTAATAATTTAATAAATTACTTTACAAACGTGCTCAATCTCGTGAATTTCTTTGTATCAAGATAATTGTAGTTTTTATTCGTCAAGTGCAAGATAACTGCCCAAATGTGGTATAAGGGCTATAATTTGTGGGGAATAGAAACTGTTGGTACAAAAAAATTGGCAAAACCCTTTCTTAAGCCCCTCAATTTTTTTGACAGCAAGTGATAAGCCCCTAAACTAAAAAAGTGGCAAATAAGCCCTCCAACCCAACGGTGGGTGCTAATCAGCCCCTCCGCTGACTGCTTGACTGCTTGACGCCGTTTGTCATCGGCTTCCATGGCATTGTTCCTGCACCGGCAAAAACCTACTTTAACCCCACTTGATCAAGTATAAAGATTTTAACTTCTCACTTTATAACACTTTTAACTCTTTACCTTTTAGATTTATAAGTTTTAGCCTCTCACCTATTAAAATTAAAGAAAATAACACTCACTTTATACTGATTTTTAACTTTGTTAGTTGAAAATAGGTTTTTATTAACTCACAATCAACTAATAGTCAGTTAACAAAATTAATAAAATATTATAAAATTAGTTCTGTTAATTCTATTAACTGAAAGAAGATTTTTGTAAGTCAATGGTTAACTAACAATCAGTTAATAGAGTTAATAGTCAATTAACAAAACTAATAAAATATTATAAAGTGAGGGATATTTTCTTTAATTTTAATAGGTGAGAGGGCTAAAAGTGTCATAGTATAAAGTAAGGG